AAGGGCTGCAAGTGTCATTTATCTGGACTTGTGTAAAGCCTTCAAAAGTACATCCTTTTCTCTAAATTGAAGAGAGATAGATTAAATGAGTGGACTGATAGATGGATAAGAAAGTGATTGGACCATCACACCCAGAGAGTAGTGGTCAGTGGCTCAGAGTCCCAATGAACATCATTGACAAGCAGTGTCCCTGAGGGGTTGCTACTGGGACCATTGCTATCTAATATCATCATGACGTAGATAAGAGTGATCAAGTGCACCCTCAGCAAATTGGCAGATGACACCAAGCTGAGTGGTGCACTTGACACATCTGAAGGATGGGATGTCACCTAGAAGGACCTGGACAAGCTCAACAAGTGGGTCCATGGGAATCTCATGCAGTTTAACAACACCAAGTGCAAGGTGATACACCTGGGTCAGGGCAACCCCCAGTATCACTACAGACTGTGGCATAAACAGATCAAGAGCACCCCTGCTGAGAAGGACTTGGATCTGCCTCTGGATGAGAGGTGGGACCTGAGCCAGCAATGTGCACTTTCAGCCCAGAAAGCCAATTTTATCCTGGGCTGCATCAAAAGCAGTGTGGTTAGCAGGTTGAGGGAGATGATTCTGCCCCTCTGCTCTACTGAGACCCCACCTGGAGTGCTGCACCCATCTCTGGGATCCCCAGCACAGGAAGGACATCAACCTGTTGGAGTGAGTCCAGAGGAGACCACCAAGTTTAGAGGGATAGAACACCTCTTCTATGAGGAAAGGCTGACAGAATTGGGCTTGTTCAGCCTGTAGAAGAGAAGGCTTTGGGGTGACCTAATTGCAGCCTTCCAGTACCTGAAGAGAACCTACAAGAAAGATGGAGAGACTTTTTACAAAAGCATGTAGAGACAGGATAAGGGGGAATGGCTTCAAACTTAAAGATTAGATAGATTAGATTAGACATTAGGAAAAAATTCTTTACTATGAGGATGGTGAGGCACTGGCACAGGTTGCCCAGAGAAGCCAGGTTGGATGGGAAGTTGTCACCACAATGAGGTCTCCCTTCAGTCTCCTCCAGTTGAACAGACCAAGTGACCTCAGCTGCTCCTCATACGGCTTCCACTCAAGGCCCTCTACCATCTTTGTTGCCCTCCTTTGGACACTCTCTGTAAACTTAATATCTTTTTTACATTGTGGTTCCTGAAACTTTAAGGTGAGATCACAACAATGCAGAGCAGAGCAGGGCAATTCTCTCCCTGGGGGCAAAGCTGGCGATGCTTTGCCTGATGGCTCCCAGAACACAGTTGGCCCTCCTGGCTGCCAGGGCCCTGCTGACTCATATTCAACTTGCCATCAACCAGGACCCTTTCCATAGCACTTCTGTCCAGCTTCTCATTTCCTGGTCTATGAACATAATCAGATGCAGAATTGGGCACTTCCCTTTCTGAACATCTTATGGTTGGCGATTGCCCATGTCTCTAACTTGTTGAGGTCTCTCTGCAGGACTTCTCTGCTCTTGAGGGAGTCAACAGCTCCTTCCACTTTTGTGTCGTCTGCAAAATTCCTTAATATTCCTTTGAGTCCCACATCCAAGTAATCTATAAAGGTGCTGAAGAGAACTGGGCTGAAAATGTATTCCTCAGTAATTTATTTTTTTCACCAATGCCTGAAATATCATAGGAATTGCCATTATACAAATAAATAAAAAAGAGAATTTTCCATACTGGAAGAGTTTTGATTGTGTCTACAGCAATGTATGTGTAAGAATGGCTACTTGTCAGTATGATGCCTTCAGCATAAAAAGTCCAGGAAAATGTAATCAGAATAGAACAGAATAAGGAATTACAGCAATAACTCAAATATTTTTTTATCTGAGGTAGTTACACATGCTGTATATTTTGTATATGGCATATAACAAAATTTTTAGAGTTCCGTAATTTAACATGACATGTAAAGATTTTTTTCAGCTTCTGCTAAGATTATTTTCATTTTAGTTTTTCTTTTTATTCTGTTTTTTTTCATCTTTTTCCCCCCACTTTACATTCTTATTGTTACTAATATTCTCTTTGAGTGTTTCTCTCAGTATTACACAACTTATATGTATGTATAAACAAGCACAAATACATTGCCTGTAAGTGAACTTGTTCGCCAGTGTTCCATTTCACAAATCCAGTACATAATATAATGGTATGGTAATTTAAAATAATAAAAAACTCCCTATGAGAAGCTTTTGTTTTTTCAAATGAGAAGAAATAACGCTTGTGTGGCAACGGCAGAACTAAATAGTTTGGGTTCCAGTATTTGAAGCATTGTTTTCTACTACAATAAAAAAAAAAAATTAAGTACAAACTGAGTGGCATGTCATATTATCTATGTATAAGAAACTCACATTTTAGTTTGTAATGTATGGATGACCCAGCACATAAATAATATACATTTTCCTCTAAAAGACCTGTTGACTTTTGTACTCACAATAAGTGATTATTTTATGCTGCAGATGAAAACTGAGTTAGAGAGCCTCACTTCCCAATGAAAATGCTGCTGATCATGCTCCAAAGTTTCACTGAAAGGAGTTGTAGACTAATGTTGAATATTAGCTTTCCTAAAGTATAAAAATATAAATATATAAAATACAGTTCACAGTGACACTGAAGAGGTAGGAATTGTTTCATGAATCCACCTGGTCATGTTGATGGACTGAAATAGTTTCCTCCAGTCAAATTGCATTAAATTATCTTACACCTTAAAGCATCAGTGCCCCATTAGGCACATCCTCATGGAATCATTTGGTAAAGTGGCTAAAGAAGGACCTAATAATCTGTGTGGATCTGTAGGAGGCAAACTTTGAAAGACATTAAACAAGCATTTTGGCAAATCTGTCTCAGTTACTGGTTTATGCAGTGTAGTCTGTCTATGAAAAATCTCCGGGATGATAAGGTTGCATCTTCTGTTAAATTAAATATAGACACTTTTGTTTGATTGTCAGCAGAAAAAAAGTCCACTTGTCTGAACCATGAATGGGAATATATAGAACCATAGAAGCATTTAGTTTAGAAGAGAGCTTCAAGATCACTAACCATGAACCTGACACTGCCCACCATAAGTCAAATGTTTAGGCTTTAAGTTCTGGTTTTGTTATTTACCACCTAAATACTAGCAAGTATTTTGAAATTTTTGGTTCTAAGTAGTGTTTAGGTGCCATGATAAATGACCCTATTTAAAATACAGAGAAAGACAGAGTACAGAGAGTATTATCCTAGACTCTCACCATTTATCCCGTCCTAAAGTGGTTTTCTGTATTGCAGAGTGAATTTCATTGAATAACATTGATTTCCTATTTCAATAAAGGGAACTGTCATCCAAAAGGTAGATGAAATATTAAGGCTCTACTAGCTAATTAGATACATAGATAGGTAGATGCGCAGATAAATACTGTGTAAATAAAATACCCAACAATATTGTCTTTTATGGGTTGTATTTAATTTTGAAAACTAAATAGCTGTTGGTTTAATTTTATTTATGTGAAAAATAAAACAAAATTCTTTTTAGATTTTAAGAACTATGGGGGAAAAATCCATTTTTACAGTGCTAATATATTCTGTATAACCATTGATTGCATGTGAAAACATGCAACCTATTTTATGCCCCAGTAATTCTGAAACACCTGAACTCTATTCCCTCCACACACCACCTGAAAATACACAAGACTAAGCATCCCTTTAGGGCTGGGAATGTATTTGCCAATTGCAGCCTAGAGGGGATTGTAACTAGCCTTATAAAACCCTGATGATAGTTTTATAATGAAAAGTCTGAAACAACCTCAAGTACCACCTCGTTAATGTGATTCTATAATACATAACAGTCTGATTTGAAAATAAGAGTCGGTTATCAAGGAATACATTTGTGAAGTTAATATTGTTGCCCTCTTAATTTTCCTCTTCTCTTGGACTGGAATTACAGTTTTCTTTCAAGTAAAATCCGCTGATGAGACACCTAATGGTTTTCTACTTTAATTTTGCTGTTCTGGTTGTTTTACAGTTGTCCCCCATTGTCTTTATGTTAAACCCCCTTGCAGAATCCTTGCAGTGAAATCGTTATGCAGATCAAAATACAGTTCTGATGTCCAAACTCTTCCAACTACATTAACCTCTTCATAAATTGATCAGGAAGTGCATTGGACAGGAAATGGCTATCAACATGGCTTACGTTAAGAATGGAGCTAGTGCTCCATTGTGCTGTTTGCTGCATAGTGCTCCAAATGTGTTGTTTGTCATCTCTCTGAGTATACGTAAATGCTTGCAGCCCTGTCAGTTCCTTAAAAGTAGTTTGAGTCTTACTAGACACAGACACTGTTGCCATGGAGCTGGAGATTTCACAGCAAAGCTGAAACTGATTTCCAGATAATAGCTGAGTTAGGAAATGGGGAGCAAATGGAAATGAACAAACAAAATTCTAAACTGGAAGTTGGGGGTTTTGATAGAAAAAAATATAATTAAGAATTCAGAATGGAGATTATTCTTTCAAGGAAAAGAAATCAACTGTTATACTGCATTAATTTCATTTGTGTGCAAACAATGTATTTCTCTTAAAATTGTGCCTGTATAGAGAACAAAAGTTCTGTAATTGCTTCATTAGCCTGCACCCAGCAGTTATGTTTCCCAAAGCAACTTGCAGCATCCTCTTCCTTATATTGTCACATTTGATCATTTTAGAATTTGCTCTGAAGACACGACAAGGTCCTTATGTGTGAATTCAGGGTGTAAGCCAGTACATTCAATAATCCCTGTTAAGAAACTTAATCAGAATCTAGCTGACAAATGATACAATCAATACCACACAACTAATCCGTAGTAGAGCTGCATAATAAACAGAAGATTACACTTTCTGTGCTAGGTAATGTCCTTTGAATTCCTGCTTTACTTGAAATGTATCATTAAAAACTTTTGTTATTCTTGTACTGTTAACATTGTAGGATGTTTTAACATATGAAACCAAATTGTATTTAATTTTATGATTTCTCTTACTAGTGGCTAGCATTCAGAAGCTTCCTGCTGCATCTGTTTTAACCGACATCAATTTCCCCATGAAAGGAAGAAAAGGAATGGTTGATTGGGCACGAAACTCAGAAGACAGGGTTGTCATTCCAAAAAATATCTTCACTCCTATGTCAACAGGTAAAGAAGCATATCAGCATGTTTATTTTTTTTGTTAGCTTTAGCAAGGAAACTCAGAATCTTTGTCTCATAGGAACCATTGTAGGATATAGGAGTGGTTATTTTATTAGTCTTCAAAAGGAATCTATAGTTTATCCTAGGGGGAAATGATGGGGCTTTATTTCAGCACATTGAACAAAAAGTGCTACAGAAATCCTGGGGATTATTTTCTACACCAAAGAGTGCTTTGCTTAGATATTGTGCACAGGATTTGATCTGTGGTGGTATGAGGTGAGCTTAAGCGCAGCTCTGCTGAACTCCTTTAAGCTTTTTCACTCCAGCAGACTGAGTCATTCCAATCCAGCTCTTACCAAAGGATGCTCAGCAGGCAAATTACTCTAACTTCAGGTACAATTTACAAATACCTTGCAGTGCAGCTCTCTGACATCAAAGAATTTACTCACTAGGCATTAAACTATAAAGACAATCTTTGAGAATACATAATTATAAAGGTAAATGAACTAGCATGGATGTCAGTATACAATGATGGATTTTTTGAAAATGTGATTTTCAATGGTTTAAATCTTTTGATATGTTCCTGGCAATGCTACATCTTTATGACAGACTTCTAGGATATAATTCAAAATTATGATGGTTGTTTAAAATAAAGCACATATTACAGAGATAAATGGTATTCACAGTTCTCTATAATGATGAAAACTTGAGAAAGAGAGTTTTAAAATCTTTTTTCCTTAATCTTTTCAGAATTAGATGAATCAACTGTATTTGTACTTGGAGCAGTGCTATACAAAAATTTAGAACTCATTTTGCCCACTTTGAGGTAAGAAATTTCATAAGTACAGTATGAATTCAACTATTTCAGAATCATAACCATACTGCATGTAAGGATAAAAGCAGACAGCCAAGACTGCCGTTGCACATTAGTACTACTGGGGTTTTTTTACTGATATTTAAAATGTTTATGCATATATTCATCTTTCCTTCATACTTAGTCACTTGTTTGATGTGAATAACCTTTTTATCAAATTGGCTTAATTTACATTTTATGTTATCTATATTAACCTTAATTACAGAAATGTTTGATTAGAAGTATACACACTGAGGTAAATTAACGCCCAGGTTACTTATATTTGTGCTTCAATCTACTATTTGTCCAGTTAGTACAAATGATCTTGTAATGACATCATAACTTGATGTACTTGGATTGTTTGCTCTATTTCTACAAAATTCTCTAGCAGTAGTTTTCCAAGTGCTTTTTCAATGCAAGGTGTATTCAGAAGGGACAGCAGAGCTGTAGAGAGGATCCATTTTGGAAAGAAGACATACATGTGCAGAGCAGCTGAAATAAGTCAGTTTTGAGAGCCATACACATACAGAAGAAATAGGAGGGCCTCGTGTTTCACCTTTTCCTTTCTGTGCTTGATAAAAGACAATAAGCATTTTACCCCCTCTTTTCTGATTACCACTTAATATCATTTCACCAATGGTCTACTAATGCCCTTTTACAGGAAAAGAAATGTGCATGTTGTGTAACAGTAGTTTTTAATGAATTCACAATCATTAGAAAGGAAAGTAATAAGGAAGGCACCATACACCTTTTGCTGCTCCAGTTAACCAAAGCTTCAGGATTTGAAACAAAGGATGGAAAAGCAGCAGGTCTTTGCCAAAAAATATCTGAGAACAAAAAAGGGTTATTCCTAATAAAATTAAAAAAACCTCACTTCCCAGTAAAGTTGCAATGTGCTGTGCAATGAGTAGCTGTAACATCAGGGACAGAAACCCTTCTGAGGTAGACCACAATTCGAATAGAGATGTCCTGGCAAGACACCTGGAAGCCTGGGGCGTATTGGCAAGAGCCAACTGTGCTTAAGGAATGGTATGAATGACAGCTCATCCACTTTTTGAAATGTCACTAGGCACTTCCCATTTGTTGTAGAGGTCAATAGTTTAAGCTTACAGGAAAAAAACAAAAAGTAAATCTTGAATACTGTATATTTGCTTAAATGAAAAGTCTTTCAGGGTTATTATTTCATCCATTAGGAAAGTGAGATTTATAGACCTTATTAGATTTTCCCAAGAAACAATAGCATCACAAGTAGCAGCAATAAGTGCAGAATATGAACATAAAAGTATAGCAACTTAAACACTGTAGAGTATGAGAAAGTGCATTTTGCTTCCCAAATTTTTTGCCTTTGTCTGTTTTGCTTTCAGCTGATTACACTGCAAATTTAACCATTTCTCTGTACAGTTCAGTTAGGTTTTGTGAGTTTCTAAAGCAAAATGGTCTAATAATCTATATATATCTATTCATAAATTAATTCTTTAGAAATTCAAATATGAAGGTGTCCCACTTTGCCTCTGAATATGTTCAGTATTATTTGAATCTAATTCTCAGCTGCCCAGGAAAAGGAAACAAGCACTATTACTTTCTTTTATGCATATGAATAAGGAATAAAAGTTATTATTAATCCATTATATAAAAATATAACACACATTCCCAGGTACCTATAGTCTCTTGTTTGTTTGGAATAAAACACCTTGCACTTCTTTAATGAAATATATTTCTTATAATGAACCTATACCAAAACTTTTAAGCTTACATCTCTTACCTCATCAGAAAGTGTATCATGCTAGATTTCTTTTACCATGGCAGTCATATTGAAAATATGATCTCACACCCTTAAAATAATACTGTCACAATTTCAAATTGTTTTCATAGAATTACAGAATCATTGAACAGTTTCAGGTTGGAAGGGACCTTCAAAGATCATATAGTTCTGACTCCCTTCCATGGGCAAGAACACCTTCCACTAGACCAGGTTACTCAGAGCCCTATCCAGCCTGGCCCTGAACAGTTGCAATGATAGGACATTCACAGCTTCCCTGAGTAATCTGTCTCAACACCCTTGGAAAAAATGTCTTCCTTATATCTAATCTAAAACTATCCTTTTTCAATATAAAACCATTTTGCCTTGCCTTATCACTACAGACCTTGGTAAAAAGTCTCAGTCGTTATCTTAGGCCCCTTGTAAGTATTGAAAGCCTGCAATAGTGTCTTCATGGAGCCTTCTCTTCTCCAGAACAAACAAACCCAACCTTCTGAATCTTTCTTCATAAGAGAGATGTTCCCTGCCACTGATTATTTACATGGCCTTCCCCTGGACCTGCTCTAAGTTTCATGCCTTTTTTGTGCTGGGATGCAATATTCCGAGTGGGGTCTCACAAGAGCAGAGTAGAGGGGCAGAATCACCTCCCTCATCTTGCTGACCACACTTGTTTTGATGCAGCCCAGGATACAACTGACTTTCTGAGCTGCAAGTACACATTGCTGGCTCATGTTCAATTTTTCATCCATCAGTATCCCCCAGTACTTCTCAACAGGACTGCTCTCAATCCCTCTATCCACTACTCTGTATTGATACCAGGGGTTGCTTCAACCCAAATACAAGACCTTTCACTTGGCCTTGTTTAACTTCATGAGGTTTCTATCTCATGAGCCTTTCAAGGTCCCTCTGGATGGTATCCCTTCCCTCCAGCATGTTGACTACACCACACAAGTTGGTGTCATCTGCAAACTTCCTGAAGGTGCACTCAATCCCTTTGTTGATGTCATCAGTGAAGATACTACTATTAAATGTATTTTGTCACATTCAGATACTTTAATGTTCATTCAGGTGGAATCTCAGCCTTTGATACTGTATCCCATGGCATTCTCCAGTGAATGGTGCTACATCCAGTTGGTGAACAGTCACTAGTGGAGTTCCCCAAGGCTCAGTATTGGGGCTAGTCCTGTTTAATATCTTTATTGATGATCTCGATGAGGGGATTTAGGGCACCCTGAGCACGTTCTTGAACAATACTAAGTTGAAAGGGAGTGTTGATCAGCTGGAAGGTAGGAAGGCTCTGTTGAGGTATCTGAACAGACTGGACTGATCAGCCAAGGCCAACTATGAGATTCAGGAAGGCAAAGTGCCAGGTGCTGCCTTTGGGTCACAAAAGCCCCATGGAGCACTACAGACTGTGGGCAGAGTGGCTGGAAAGCTACCTGGGGAAAAGGACCTGTGATGTTGATCAACAGCTGACTGAACATGAGCTAGCAGTGTGCCCAGGTAGCCAAGAAGGCCAATGGCATCCTGGCTTCTATCAAAAAGAGTGTGGCCAGCAGAAGTAGGGCAGTGATTGTCCCTGTGTACTCAACACTGGTGAGGTCACACCTCAAGTCTTGTGTCAAGTTTTATGCCACTCAATTCAAGAAAGATATTGAGATGCTGGAGCGTGTCCAGAGAAGGGCAACTAAGCTAAATGATTAAATCCAACCTAAATGGTTCTGTGATTCTCTAATTTTAAACTTGAAAAAATCTGCTACTGTATTTAGTGCTGTATTTGTTGAGATGTTATATTCTTTGTGAAAATTAGAACTGACGTGCAGGTTTTAAAGGGATCTTTATTATTATTGTTTTATCATTTTACACTTGTTCAAGTACATGAATGAAGGTTTCTGTTCATCCAACAATCTATGGAGCAAACACTGTAAAACGTGAAGGAACATATCATCTATTTTTTATATGATGCCTAAAATTCTAGTAGCCATGCACAACATAGGAATTTAAAAATACCATTCTGGATAAGCATCTTACAGCATCCTTTTCTAAAGAAAATACCCGTTGTTAAATATGTCAGTGGTGGGAATGACGATGAACAAATATTAAACCAAGCTAAAATAAGTAAAATGGACTTGTGTTTGATTTCAAATGCCACATCATTTATACCTTGACAACCTGATAATAGAGGGGATTTCTACTTACTGCAGTTAAATATCTAGAAAGCTTTACCAGTTCCCTTGTGATTTCATTTCCTGGCTTTACAGATTTAAGATGGGAGTAAAGAAAATCTTTGATTGTAATTTCCAAATGAATAAAGGTGACACACACTCCAGTACATTCCTTAATCTTAGCACTAAAGGGTATGCAAACTTCTGCATCATCACAAGGAACTTCTTATTTAAAAAATAAACAAACAAACAAATAAAAAAAAATCTCAGTATATCTTTAGGGAAAATTTTCCAAAGCACCTAACCACAGAATCCCCATCTGGTACATCACAGGTGTTCTGTGAGTGAAATGAGGATTTCATTATCTTGGACAACTCATAAAAAATATTTCATAAACTCCAAAATTAGACACATTTTACCATATGGGCTTGATTTTTCTTGACATAGAGTCTATCAAAAGTAAGTCTTGTAAACACAGTGCGAGATGAGGAATTACATTAATGTGCAGTTTTTTGGGCAATGTGTTTAATCCTACTGGTACGTGTATATTATTCTGAGAATTTTGCCAGGAGTCTTTAAGCAAGAGTTTAGGGAAACAAAGATAAAAAAAGTTTATTCATCCTCATAAAAATAAAATCCTTATTTTTTCCCATGCACAAGTAAATAAAGTTCAGCTGATTCTATTTTGTAATATACTTTGCTGCATTGCACTATTCTTATAATATCTTATGGACTTGTTTATAGCAGATATTGAAACATTGAATATTTTCAGAACTGTAGAACCAATATTATTTGCACAGCTCTTGCACCCCTGAGCACATTTATGTTATTGTTAGGTTCACAGAAAATTGATTCTCAGTATAGTACTCATCTAAAATATACTATATATAATTCATCTCCTGGGCACTGTGAAGAAATACATTGCATATTGCCATACTGTAAGATAGTATTTACCTTTTCCCTTAACAAATAAGAACAAATAAAGAATCAATGATTTTGCTGTATCAAGCTTTTTTTTTTTCCTGTCCCTTAAGCATCCACCATGTTTCTGTAGTTTAGTGGTTATCACGTTCGCCTGACACGCAGAAGGTCCCTGGTTTATGCAAAAATTGTATGGAATACTGGGTACATGGCCACTTCCTTGGTTACGAGCTGGTTGCCAGGAAGACCTAGACCAAAACCATCACACTTTTCCTGCTAAAATTTCTTGCACTGAAATGTATGTCCCCATTTGAAACATCATTCCTAACCCCCTCCTTCAGATGCTGTACAACTAAAAAGGCCCTTTAATTTTCTCAGGTCAGCTTTGTTAGACTAAGGATGGAGTATCTCAGACAGGTTTCTTTTATCATGTCACATTATTCCTTTAGCATCTGGAATTTTTCTGTAAACTTGTATACATTGATCTGTAACTTCGATCATGCTATCTTGAGACAGCAACATGCCTTATTCATAAGTTCATTTTTCTTGAGCAACATAGAGTCATTCTAAAAAGAAAAGAAAATCTGAATTTCTTATCACATAGAATCAATAAGAATTCCCTTATATAAAAAAATACCCTCAAAATTTATGCCTAGGTGGTAAAACAGTTTAATAAAATAATGCTATTTTATTAATATTGTTATTAATTCAGATCAGAAAAAAAAAACCTCCAGGACAGAAGCTCTGGAAGTATTTCTTGAGCTTTTACTCAATCAAACTTTACTGTCTTAAATCTTCAAGGATTTATTCAGCCATAGTTCCCAAGGAATTTAATAGATTCTTTTGAATAATTGATTTTGAAACTTAGTCTTGATGAGCCTCTTTCTGGACAGTCAGCAGGGCACCATCCTGTAAAACTTCATTTCTCATTAAAGTTGAATTTTAGATTATTTTTGATGAAAGAGAAGGAGTTAATGGTAAAGTCACTCTCCACCATAAAAAACTGTAAGGTAATGCACTTGCCCAGGAAGTGTGAGATGGGTCGTTCTATTCTATGTCATTCTCCACATGAGAGGGACTGAAACCCACGTATTGCACCTCCCGGCGTATTTTGTAAAAGCTGATTACTTTAATTCTTGGATAAGTGTTCTCAGAAGTAGGCTGTTGTTTTAAAAAAATATCTTAAACAAGTTTAATGATGGCACCACACTGGTGGCTTTGAGGTAAGTTATTGTGATTATGAAGCTCTGAGCTTTAGTTCAGAGGCATCTTAACATCTTGTGTGAGTTTAGAATATACTTGCCAGATTGCATTCTTTCAGAGACCGTCCAAACAGTTAAATATGATATATGCAATTAGGCATTCAGCCCAGACAGGACAGCAATGAGGGATGCAGTTTTCATTTCACAGCAATATAGCCAGTTACATTTATTTTCTGGTGAAACAGTCTGCTAGGGGCTCTCGAGAATGTAAGTGGATTGGTTGAGTTTTCATGAAACTGAGGTAAAATGGATGTACTGAAGTTACAAACTAGGCACTTAGGTGCTCTTTCAGATCTCATGCTAGAACCATCAAAACTGCACCAAAATGAGATATAGGAAGGAAACATATATTGACTCACAAAGACTAATTGTAAAAGAGTACTGAAGTATCAATATTTACACTACTTTGTGTGAATTTCCAAAATGGGCACAGTCTCTTAATAGCTCTATAATAGGCTCTATTTCCACTTGTCATGATCTGTTAGAGAAACTAGGCTTTTCTTTTTTTTTTGGAGTTTTGTTCTTTTGTTTGGGTGTTTTTTTTAATTATACCATTATTCTCAAGAATTATAGATATTCAGCTACTGTCATTCTACAGAAGGTACAGAAATTTTGCTGAACATTTAATGTTAATCTGATAGAGAGAGACAATGTGTGCAACCAAAGAGAAGAAACAGGAATTAAGTAAAGTAGAAAGCCACTTCGATTGTATTTCCATTATGTGATTTGGCTGAGTAAAATTGGACTAGAACTCATACCTTGCCCCAGAAGAATAATTTCATTCCTTGTGCTGAATGAAGTGCCTGCTGAGCTAAGTTTCTATTACTGTAGCCATGGCAATTCCTGTTTCAATGATTCAGGAGAATGGAATCCTCTCCTAAATGCAAACTCCCTAAAGAAAATAAGCAATGCAGTAGCAACAACAACGATAACAAAAGGATATTTTCATTGCCTATTATAATTACATCTAAACTGCCTAGTTTCTTCTTTGATAACATCTACCTGAATATGACTGAATATGTCTTTCTGTGAGGTGTTGAAAGCAAAGAAATTACCATAATAATCATCAGAAACAGTCAGGCTGATAACTGATGGTCATTCTAAACCTCATAGGGTCATAAGAAGCAAGGATCTCAGGCATGAACATCATGTCAACATGTCTTTATGCCTGTAGTAGCATAACCTTGGCACTACTAGGTCTGTCCTAGAGAGGTTGCTATGATACATAGGGATCCACATTTTACATGAAAAGAGAAATTGATCATGTATTAGAGAAATTCACAGAAAATCATTATTTTGCATAACCTGGTACAGTAACGTAGGACCAAATCTAATCTCAGATATGAGAAAAAAAATTATGTGTTGTGGCAGAATTTAATTCAGGGCACTTGGTTTAAATTAATAAGTATTTAGAGGATGAAGTTACCCACTCATGTATCAAATACATTGTTTTTTTCTAAAATTGGAAACAGTTTTTTTCGTGAGCACAGAATCAACAGAACTGTACAATCTCCCATTGCACTCATCAGTCTTCACAATTTTACACTTAACAGTGAGAAAAAATGTCCAACACATCACTTTTGAAGAAAAATTACTGTGTCTTATAGTTAGTGGACCTATACTGAGAAAAGCAAATGAGATGCACTCAAACATGTACAGAATGCTTGTGTGATCAATACATTATTCTGATTAATAACTTGTATTTAAAGGAATTGCACTTCCTTATCCTTGGTGCTCTTTATTCTTGAATGTGTTGGGTACAGCTGTGAGATACAAGTCTCATTTAACCTCATAGCAAGTTAAATTTTCTATTTTTACTTTTGTTTTGTTTTGTTTTGTTTTTTTACAGGAATTTTACAGTTGTTAATTCAAAAATCATTGTTGTTACTATACGACCTGAACCCAAAACTACGGATTCTTTCCTGGAGATAGAACTGGCCCATCTCTCTAATGTAAGTACAAGGATAGTTGGTGTGCTCTTACAAGAGTATTTGTCAGATCATATGAGAGAAAAAAGTGACGTTGTTTTAAAAAACAGTTAATAAAACCCTGTTTAACTTCTAAAATTTAATCCCAGGGACAGTCTGACAATCTTTGAACAAAATTAATTGTTGTTTTGTGGGTTTTGAAGTTTTAATTTAAATAGCAATTTCTACTGAAAAGTTTCCATTAAATGCTTTGATGGTTACAATTGGAAATGTGGTATTGTGATGAATGCTTAATTTTTTTCTCCCTGCATAGGTCATAGAGCTACATAGGGTTTTTTCTCCTTTTCTTTCATTATTTTATACTGAAAAGCCAAGTTTTACTTGTTTTAGCAGACTGAAAGAAATGCTCTGGTTCCAATTTAACTTAGAGTTCTTATAAATGTTTGAGATTTTTTGTGCAATTCTTAAAACTCCATACTTTTGAGGCTTTAATCTCACATTATAATCATTTTAAATCTGAAAAAAAGAGGGACTTTATTTCCACATATTTGAAAAATATGAAGAGTTTTTCTCCTGCAGTTAGTAATCCCCAGCAGTCACAGGGATCTGCAGTATTGGGAAAATAATGTTAAATAACAAACATAAGAGTAATTTATGTGAAGGCACAGCATATGAACTCTGTCTGTTATTAAGAGCTAGAGTTTACTTTGAATAAAGCCATAAAGAGTCAATTAGAAAAGGCAGTTATTAGAGCTTTTGAAAATACTTTTGTTATGCAAAAATCTTTAAATCTGTGGGATTTTTAGGTATAAACAGTTATTGAAGTGGTCATGTAGATATAATTCAACTGGAGAATTTCTGAATATTTCAATCAGTAGCAAAATTGGATTAGTGATTCTGGGCAAAAGTATGAAAGGAAACTTTTTGAACTCTAGATCTTGAATTAACGTTTTACTCAAGGTTAGAAGAAACTGTTTTGCCCTCAATGGTCATTATGACATGGCATTCAGTTCCCAGAAAAATCCTAATTCAAAGAACATCTCAGTGAAACTTAGACAGAAAAAAGGAATAGAGGAACATAAGCTGACCTGACTCCTTACCTTTCAATAAGATTAGAAGTCTATTGATAAAGAATTGTGGAGATTTGGGGGTTTATGGTTCCCTGTTTAGGATGCTTTATGGCAGGTAGATTTCATTTTTTTTTCATTTTATTTTGTTTCCAACCTAAGTTATATCATAAGAATTAAGAGAAAATATGAGTCTTTAACATAACTTTCCTTCCTGTCAGACATTTTACTAAAAATGTAAAAAAAATATTTGCTGGAGTAAACCACAAATTAATCCTATATATCGGGACAAAAAACAACCACTTTTGAAATAAAATAATTGTTTTGATCTTACTAAGGTCACTATTAGGAAGAATTTATGGTAATTTTCATTGCTAGATTTTATAATCTGTTATTTCAACAGTGATTGGTGAGCTACTTACAGGAATTGCTAACTATGATATTTATATTTTGAAACTGACACCAACTGTCACCTTGTTTTGGCAACCTTTCAGTAACTGAATATTAATTAATATTGTATGAGCTCATGTCTTGACAAAGCACAAAGACAATAACCTTGCCAATACGTATCAGACTTTTTTTTTGGGGGGGCTCACTTTTTGTCCTATAATATAATCTAGAGAAGCTTATATAAAATTTTCAGCCCTGAAATTCATTTTCCATATACTTTATTTATATAGACTCCTAATCCACCTGAATATATTAGTTGTATTGACAGATACAATGATAATATATTGCCCTAGATAATCTGTGAATGCAAATCAGTTTTATAGTTTTAATGTCTTTAAACATTTGGCAACTTTTTTCCAAGTTCTAGTCTTCATAATGGAATTTTAATAATAATATATTACCATAGAAAAAGCTTAATGTTGCATACAGAAAGATAAAACTATTGTTAATATGTCTTTAGTGTTTGAACATTACATAATAATGGCTCACAGATTAACCATTATGTCAGTTAAATAGATTCATTATTAAACAGAAATAAAATACCTTCTCTTTCATCTGATTTTTTTTAAAGTCTCCTTGTTATATTTGTTCCTTTTAAAACTTTTTCTTGAAATGCTGTTTGTTTGCAAATTGAGTTAATGACTAATTTTTCAAGTATTTTCTAGACCATGCCTACAAATATATAGGGCAATATCTGCACTTTTTTGGTTTTTTACCTCCTTATCCACTGACTAAATTACGTAGATAAGAGATTATGAAATACTTAAAAGAGATAAAAGGAGTTAATATGACTAAATAAAGTTAGCCTTTAAATATTAATTTATTCAGTATTTTTAATGATTTCTTCATGTTATATCAAAACTAATCAGTTTAATGATAAAACTGGGGGATGATTTTCTGGAGAAAGTGCAAATCACGATTGCATGATATTTGGTCTTGTGCACTGTGAACATGTAGGTGACTGTGACCACAATTTTCCAGTAGTTTGATTAAAGAGACACCAAAGCAATCTTAAAAAAAATGCACAACTCAAACAAAATCCTATTTGCTCCAAAGAGAATATGGACTCTCACCTTCTGACAGCATAGAAGTTTACTCCAGGGACACTAAAGTAATGAGCCAGCAGTAGCATAGGACACCAAGCTTTCAGTGAGACTGAAAACCCTGCCTACAAAAAACACAGTTGGCACTGTGCTGGATAGCTGTCAAAGTTGCCAGTCACGTCTGGAAAATTCAATTTCATCTCCTAGACACAGATACATACAAGTGCACACACACACACATATATCCATTTTTGATATATCTGAGTCAGGTACTGTAATGTATAAATCAATACTACAAGCAGTCGTAAACATTAATGGACACAGTAGCTGCTTCCTTCACTGCAGCTGAGTAATTAACTGGTGAGAGCACTGCCCCCACTGACAGCGATGGATGTTGGAGGCAGCTCGACAGCAGCAGTGCGAGGAGATGTCGCCAAGAGGCCAGACACAGAAGTACTGTGAAAAAGGGAGCAGCAGATTAAGAGTGAAGAAGCAAATACAGAGACAGGCTCCTTGTGGTCCTCGCAGTACTTGAAGGGTGTTTGATCAGGGTATCAAAAGAGGAAGAAGTTCTGAAAGACTGCTGTGCCCTGGCGAGCTGCGAGTCCTGGTGGAACAAACCCTCAGACAAACCCTCATACTCCTTAAGGAATGGAAGTAATATTTATCCCGCTTTCCATGTTTCTGCTTAATCTCTCATTAGTAACTGCAATGGCCAAACATACTGGTTGGGTTTTTTTTTTTATTAGAATGGATTTCAAAGCGAGAGAAGTGTGTGATCTGACACCAGTGCTACTGTGTTCCAGTTTTCTGCAAAGGCCTTTGTTTTCCTCTATTTTGTGGATTTTTTTATAATGGACATTTTTTATAAAAATGCTTCTGTATTCATTCTACTTGCACTGTGGGAATACCAGGCATAAGCTGTATGATGTCCACTGCTAGGAAAGAGAGGTCTTAGATCTGAGAGATGAAAAGCCTTATTATGATGCAGCTGTAGGACTACTACTTTAGTATGCATATAGCTAGATCAGATTGCAAGTAGTACTTCTTCACCCAGACTTAGGATACAAATTAATGTCTTTATAAAATAACATTTTGAAGAAAATTTAGTTCTGCATCGATATTCTGTTTTTCTTACTTCTTACCTTTCTGTATGCTCTTCCATCAGTGTATACGAAAGCTCTTGCCTAGTGATGCAGGACCTGGTCTCTGAATCTCAACTGGCCTGTTATCCAGTACTTTGTCCTGTGCCCTCTTCCCCTTCCTTTTCTTTATATTATAAATACTTCAGGGAATGGAGCATTCTTTATTTATGTTTGTACAGTGCTATGTAAATATAAAGTGCCATAAGTATATGTTGGTTTTAAATATTTATACTCGACTCATGAAATTCAGTGGAGTCAGCAAAATACTGAACTAGAGGTTCAAAGTTTCCCTAAATACCTCTCTCACAAGCATCTCCAGAAGGACCTTTTTTATCTTTGACAAAGAGGTGGATGGAATAATCTAAATATTTAATAGATTTTTACTTCATAGATTGACATGTTTTTTATAAAAATAAAACACTTTGGAGAATGAAATATTAAGGTGTGCTTTGTTTATATGAAACTACTTTTATATCTAGTGCATCTACACTGTTCACTAAGATTAACGTACAAAAATAGTAATTGTTTCTTCAAATCACTTTTGATTTTTAAAAAAAAATTATAATTTTTTTCTGTACTCTATATAATTTTTTATGTATTTCTGATTTCTGGGAATACCCAGAGCTTGTGATGAATAGGAATATAGTTTTGCAGTTTTAAGTACTTCTAAGTCAATCTGAGTGAATTTTAATTTTGTATCAACTCTTCCTAGGCAGCAAAATAAACATGAGTAACAATAGTTTTCAGTTTCCCAAAACATTCCCCATAGTTCGATGATGTGTAATAAACCTAGATTCCAATCCTGTTCTAAATCAAATCAGAAATTTTCCACTAACTTTGAAGAGGCTGAAGCTGGGATTGTAAAGCGTAACCACATTAGAAATAAAATATTTATTTTGAGCAAAAAGCTTTACTGATTTAGTACCTAATTGACAAATACTTTGCATACTGGATATGGGGTCATCTGAAAACTGAACCTCCCAACATCTTACCCAACATATGCTTAAAATTTTTAGAGGCATTACTGGTTTTGACATTCAAGTTCCTAAGGGGTCTAAAGTTCTGTTTCTAAACACACCAGAAATGTTCAGTCAAGTCTCTTAGCAGATTAAATTTTATCTCATATTTCCCTTCTACTAGGATATGCCAGATAGACAACTTTATGCTTACCTTGTCTAAGCAGAGAATGCACAAGGAGTCTGCTCCTAGGTTGAAATGCTTTAAAATACTCTAAGAATTAAGCTTAAACTTTTGCCACTTCGGTGGCATCAATTCATCAGAGTATAAAGATAATCTTGTAGAAGGAGACTTAAATAAATTTTTAGGTCAAACATGATACATATTTTTGTGTATCAATATAATAGGTTTGTTTGTTTTCTTTTTAGGGCACATTGAATCCCTACTGTGTGCTGTGGGATGATTCGAGAATGTAAGTAACAGATGTTTGCTTCTATTTCTATGGCTCAAATATTACAAAGTACCTACTGATATTTAAGTAGTTGGTCCATAAACAGGTTGGTACGAGGGCAGAGAAAACAAACTTCTTACAGAGTGAAAGTACTGGATTCTCCAGTCACTTGGCTTCCTTTCTGCAGCTATGTAAATTGAAATAATACAATATCTCACCAAGAAGAGATTATTCACATAGGAATTTTAATCTGGTCTCTCAAGAATAAAATGAGGATGTCTAAGAACTGTAGTTCCTTGATGGTAGTTGCTGGGCAACAAGCAAGTGGGTAAACAATGAGACAAATAACTGAGGAAGGCTCCTATTTCTGTTACTGCAGGGAGCGTGATCCCCACAGCAATCTTCATTTTAGTTTATTGAAAATTTTATTTCAGTTTATTAAAATAATAGCTGTATACTAAGCAGTGAAAGCTTACTATCAGTCTTCTGCTGCTTTTTTCAGTATGTGTCCCTTCTATAGCAAGAAAAGAAAATGTTACTGTATAAAAATAAAGCAGTAAAATCAGTGTAGTTAATAAAGAATCCCAAGTTTATGCAGTTGTAATTTGCTACATTAATCTTTCACAGTAAATCTCCCATTAAAGTCAAGGTGAACTTTGCGTACGTGCAGATAAAGTGTTCCAAGAAGTATCCGTATATGGTTGCCGTATTATTTTTTTTCTAAAGTTGATGCTGTGCCTCTTGTCCAGGTATATTTTATATGTCTTATGATACAGAGTCATGTGCAGAGTTAGAAATTGCATGACTGTGATTTTGTTTGTGCTTTCATCCTTGAGCTTGTGTTTACATCAGTACACGGGTGGCTGAGAAACAACATTATAGAAATGTGAAACTTTGGACATGATACCAGAAATCATTCCAAATACAAGTAGTACTGAGGTCTGTGCCTCTGCAAAAGAATCATAATGCCATTTTTTGCCAGCAACATCATATTATGCAATTTCTATGAAATCTGTGGAATTAAGTATGTGAAAGACTTGATATTATGCATTATTATGAGCACATGGAAAGCAAAAGATTTTGAACAAGTTCTTTGTTTCCTCTTTACAAAGTTTTGCTTACACTGGAGTGGTATAGTGGGTTTTTATCATTTTCTGTATGCGTTTCTTTAAGCACTGTGTATTTAGAGCACATACTCTGATATCACTGTTCAAGTCCACAGTATCAAGGGCACATTTACATGAAATTAGGCTACTAAAAAAACAAAACAAAGCAAAAAATCAAACAAACAAACAAAAATAACCCCCCCTGCTGTGGATTTAACAACACATTTAAAAGATTTGATGTGGGTATTTGGGATGAATGTGTGAAGTAATTGCAAACAAATTTATTTTGTCCTTGCCACTTGTTTTGCATGTATTTCTCCTAGTATTGCTCATAGAGAAGTTCAGTGGTACATATAGTACTGTTTTCAATATGCTCAGAATCTGAATTTTGAAACATCTGAAATTTACGTAAAGCTTACATAAAATAGTCTGAGGTTTTGAGGCAGAAGGACATACTTTGTTATTCGGAAGGATATATTTTCTAGGCATATTAGAAAAGGTATTGAAGATGGTAAAATAATTTAAGATTGGAGGTATTCTTGAAGATATGTCCATTTTTAAGTGATGTAAGTCCTCAAATATTCTCAATAAGATGCGATGCATCTGAAAGGTCTGTATGGACACCACTGTGTTTGACATGTGTATGTGTGCTACTTTCTTATCTGAGAATGCAATAGCAAGAGCAAACTTCTACTATTTTCCTCCATCCCTTTGGGAAAAACATCTTTAGTGTTAGCTGTGGGAGCATTAGCTTCTTCAAAATTTCACTTTTGTAATGCTGTTTCCTTTTGGTTTGGACCATTTTATTTGTATTTGTATTTATTCAGAAATATTTCAGAATTTTAGTTCTGATACTGTGGGTTTTAAATTATGAAAGCTCTAAAATGATGACTCAGTTCCTATTATTTAACAATCTTAATAAATAAATAGTTAGGTGCCCATGATTATATTGAGTTCTTGGTGGCTTGTTTTCTTTATTTTTTCCACTTTTTTCTAAGCCTCAGGAATTAGTTGTCCTCAGCAGCAGGCAAGTGGATTTGATGTATTAATAGCCTAAATCACAATGCAGATCCAACAGAGCTGTGATGTACTCATGTCCTTCCAAATTGAGTAATTTTTGCATAACCAGGATTTAGCAAGTGTTTTGGAATGATCCCAACAAAAAGTAGCCTGCTTTTAGTTGCAGGTGCTTAACTAAGCAAGTGTCTATTGTGAATCAGGTGTTCTAAATGAAGTGGTTTTCAGATGAATCCTATGTTAGCTTTTATCATCAGCAGACAACCAGCAGTAACCTCTAATGGGTTTTACCATCTTTTTAGCCGCTTCTCCCACATCTTTATCTGTGTGCCTTGCAAGTTCACGTTTGGTAAATGATACTTTCTCCATTGATCTTGTCAGTTTAATACTTCTCCAGCAGCAAGGAAAGCTTTGTCTATCTGGATTTTGGCCATGCTTTTCAGGAAATGGAACAATGATTACAGTTCCCTGACATCCATCCTTGAAGAAAGTTCTGAATCTGTGAGCTCTTAAATCACACCAAATCATCAAGGTTATCCTACTGCCATCGGTATCTGTGACAATTTGGTCACCCTAACTTTAGCAATAGTAGCTTTAATCTATTCCTTCTATGAGATTTGGTGATTCTTCCCTTTGATTATGTTTTATAAGTTTTTTCATTTATCGAGCTGGCAGACTTGTGCACTTTCTGTAGGCAGCTAGTCAAATGTGTGTACAATATTGAGACAGTACAACTAAAGAATAAGATATTATGTCAATCCAATAATTCATCATTTTATTTCAGCTGATTATCTCAATATATAGAGCACACCTGGCTGTGTTGATTGAAACCAGGCTTTTTTATGAATTCTGGTGCTTCCTTTGATACTTCCAGCTTCCCTACACAAAGCTGGTAGCATGAATTGTATTAAGTGGTGACTTTTCCCCCTCAGAAATCTGAGTGATATCTTCATCTATTCATTTCAGAAAATGTATTTAAATGTTGCATTCAGTAAAGTCTTAGGTAGCTGAATTCTTCTCCTTCTAGTGCATGAGAAAGTGTATGGAATATTTGTAATTAACACTCTGAGGATAAACAATTTCCTTCCTTAAACCAACCAGTCAAAAACTCCAGAAAGAGTTGTGTCTTTTTACTTTGCATTATCTGCATCCTTGCTGTCAGGAACTGTTTGTGATACATTAATTCCAGTGTTTCAGTCCACAAAGAGAAAGAAAAGGAGTTGATCGAGTACTAGAGCTGGCTTTCATATCCCAAAGAAGAGATTTTAAAGATTTTAAGATGAAACAAAACTTGAAAGTTTTTTTTTTTTGTTCCTCCTACCTTTCTGGAAAGGAAAAGAAGACAGTCTCAACTAGCAAGTGATCCAATAGTTAGATGTATTTACTTGGGGACCTCAGGGACTGTCACTTCAATTTTTTCTTTATCTAAGTTAATTGAGTTTGAAACACACTTTTCAGCCTTACAGGAGCAGCCTATGCCCAGTGAGCTGTCAGCTCCTCTGGAGTGTGTTACTCACAATGTGTCCTGCTGGAACTCTGCCATATTATTTAGGAAAATATTCATGGGTTGGGAAGCTGATTCCAGACGCCTCTGTATTTAATTTTCCCACTGTTTCTATGTGTTTGTCACCATGCCAAACCTAAATCTTAGCCTTATCACTGTCAGTTGTTTTTTTTTTTCCCTAGCACTGTTTTGTTTTATGTAAGTCTGGGTAAGGCTCTGTAAGGGATCAAAGAATCCTTATGCGCATGCATACATTTTGATTTAAAGAATGCCATTTCTTGTGGCAATCCAAACAGTTCTCTTGAACTTTTTTGCCATCTCTGATGTTTATGTATGTGATAGATGCCATAACAGACAGTTTGGATGTTGTGGTTTAACCCTAGCCAGCAACAAAGCACTAGCTCACTCTCCCACCAGTAGGATCATGGAGAATATCAGAAAGGTAAAAGCTACAAAATTCATGGGTTGAGATAAAGGCAGTTTAATAGGTAAAGCAAAAGCCATGAACAAAAGCAAACAAAACAAGGAATTAATTCACTGCTTCCCATGGGCAGGAAGGTGTTCAGACATCTCCAGGAGAGCAGGGCTGTAACATGCACCACGGTCACTTGGAAAGACAAACGCCATCACTCAAAAGGTCCCACCCTCCCCCCTTCTTCTCCCAGTTTATATGTTAGCATGTTGCCATATGGTGTGGAATATCCCTTTGGTCAGTTTGGGTGACCTGTCCTGGCTGTGCCTCCTCCTGGCCTCCCATTACACCCTCAACTTCCTTGCCAGTATGGCAGTACAAAAAGCAGAAAAGACCTTGGCTCTGTGTAAGCACTGCTCAGCAATAACAAATATGTCTCCATATTATCAACCCTGTGTTCAGCACAAATCCAAAACATAACCCTATATTAACCACTGTGAAGAAAATGAACTCTACCCAGCCAAAAAGCAGCAGAGTGGATCTCTAGGATCCATGAAGGTTTGGCCTGACAATGCAGCTGGTGTTCGTTCTTTTAGAAGAGTGTTGGACGTAACGTGGGCACATGTGTTCTCCACAGGATAGAGTCAGTTGTTGCTGGTGTGCTCTACATCTGTACACAGTGCAACATGACAGCTCACAGCACTGTGTAAGGGGAAAGGGTTTTAGTATTCTGAGGCTCTTTTCTGCCAGTTGCTGCAGAAGGATGTTATAACAGTATGACAGCATTTTATTTGTCCATATGTGTGCTCATAGTAGTTTGTGCCTGCTGACTATACAGTTGGCAGAACTACAGTGCAAATAGCTGAGATTTTTTAATATTGCAATAATTTTGACCTAACTCAGTTTTAGTTTAGAACAAGTGGTAGGTCTGTTCTATTCCCCCCCCCCCCCCGCCCCCGCTCACTGCTATACAAATTTACTTTGGCAGATTTGGTACCCTAAAGTTATGGGAAATTTTGAATAGCTATATATGAGACATGACAAATTGTATACATTTGTATATCTTCACAATTTCACACCAGAGATCTTCCATTAAAAGAGGGTTAAAATAGTTTACAATTACTTTTATTTTAATTATCCCGTAGAGCTTTTAATTATTTTTCTTCCATTGTCCCTGGATACAATTCTGGAGAAATAGTCCATAAAGGAATTTTTTCGATGCAAATAAAGAAGAGTCTACTGGTTAATTGTGATTCTTCTGTCTATAGGGCAGAATATGACTCAGCTTTACAATATAAGCTTGCATCCTTTGACAGGGAGTACTGATCTGCTTGCTATGTCTCTCTCCTCTCCACCTTGATTTTTAAAATTAGCATGATGGACCATTAGAGTTATTTTTTTTGTTTGTCCTAGCCTTGCAAATCTTTCAAAATATGTTCAAGATGACTCTTTATAACTTTTGTCAAAATGTGTCAAGCTATTCATAAAATAATAGAATATCCTAAGTAAGAATTTGCTTATGGAAATATGAATAGTAGCCTCTCCTACCTTTATATTATTTTACAGTTGTATTATTTTTGTCACCAGAAAGATATGGAGGAAACTGAATGAATAAGTATAGTTTGGAAATATATTGCTTCTTCTGTTGACTTCAGTCAGACTTCTTGGTCCGACTTTACAGTCAGACTTAGCTTCTATCACATTTTGCAAGACAGAAAATTCTTTTTCCCTATCAGCTTCTGTGCTTTTGTTCATTAATGAACCTATTCAGAAGATAAATGCCTCCTGGAATGCCTGCGTTTATGAAGAACTTTCCATAGTGGAACCTGTGTGATAGCACACTACATAATCTTTTGCTCCTGACAATCTTGCGTAAAGGATTAGAAGACTACAGAAATATATTCTTTTTCATTAAAACAGTATGGAGTGAAAAACCTGATCCAAACTCCCTTGCAGTACAACCAAAAGGCTTTGACTGATTCGAATCAGATCAGATCAAGTGGCAAACCACTGCTCAAGCCATGCAAGACCTAATTTTAATTTTTTTAAATTCACAAACTGCTAAGATTCTACTGTAGTGCAGAAAAATTAGTTCTGAAATGTTGTACAATATAAAATTGAGCATCTTTATATCGAAACAGTCAGACCAAAATTTGCTTAAGTCATACACAAAATGAATCAGTATATATGGGAGGAATTTATAATTTAGTACTTTTTTATAACACTGCTCTTCTCTAACACCTACACAGCTATGAACAGAGCTTACATGGCCTGCTGAGATTTTTAACAAAAAAAGGAAATCAAATTAATCTCTGCTAATAAATTCACTTTCTTTTTAATTTTTACTGGGTGATTAATCAACTCCGTTTGTTGAGAACTCAATTGTTATTTATTGCTTTTATATAAATGTAGATTTTCACAAACTAAAAATAGTGGTTTCTTGTAATATGAGGCAATTAAAATTCTGAAATGTGACTAAAAGGAACTAGTTATTGTATCTTCATAGTCAAATTTAAAGATATGAATTGGACTTTTGACAGATCTTTAATGTATAATGAGGACAAAAGATAATTGAGCAGTTTGAATAAACTTCACAACAGAAAAAGAATTGGTTGTAATTTGGTTTTGTATCTATGTTGATGAACATACATGAAAACATACATGAAACATTCATGTATTCCTAAATCAAATATAATGTGATCATGGCTTTCCCTAATAATATCTCAGGAAGAAATGCACCAGATGAGATCTGCAAATCCAGCATGGTGGTGGACTTGAGCTGACTTGTAGTGTTTACCAAATCAAATACAGCTTCTAAAAGTACAATATAGCATAATTGCAACTGCAGAATTTTTATGATGTGCCTCTTAAAGTTTGTTACACCTGTAGATTTAAAAGCAATTTAACACAGAGATTCCTATCATCCTTCCTGGTTTACAGATAGGGTAAACTACAGCATAATGGAGCAAAACAGAGTTAGAGTTCCAAATTCCTGAGTCATAATTGAGGATGCTCTCTAGCTGTTCTCAAAGCCAAACCATTCCCCTACCATGAAGTAGATCTCTAAAGTTTAAATAGTGTTATAATGATATTTTTAATTTTTTTTTCTCAGTCACTCAGATAATCTCATGACTGTTGCCCATTCTGGAGAATTTAGGTCTTTTTATCCAACAGAAGTGGTGCTGCAGCACCAAAGCCCCTTGTATAATACCACCGTTAAATAAAACAAAATCTGCATGCATCACCAAAGAGGTTGAATAACCTAGAGAGTATTTACTTATCCCCATGACAAGGAGCTGTGAGAAGTATCCTTCTGCTGTTCTCTGCTATTCCTTTGACAATAGAGATACAGATCATGTGCATAAATTGCTTGTAAGTAAATCATGTTGTTCTTTACTTTTAAATTTATTTGTAGTCAGTACAGAAAAAACCCAGAACTATTGGTATAAATATACCTACTTTTAGTAATATGATAAGGGCAATATGCTACAATATAATTTTTAGCACTTGCAGAGTATAATTTTGCTTGTCTTTGCTTCAAAATGTGTGGATCTAAATCTCCTGAGTTAATAAGCGTTCTCTCTGATAGATCCAATATCACGTAATTCATTGAAGTCTGGTCTGTTTTCCTACGAGAAATGTTTTTTTACAAAAGGACGTTAAATAAGTGTTTGAAATAGAATTTTACAATGCATGCTAGAGGTCATCTTCCAACTCTAACAGTTGTTCTAGAATTGTTAACGCTGAAAGTGTATCTCTCCCTGATAAAACTGTAAAAATCCATCAGAACCAGTCGAACAAATCCAGTGTAAATCTGCCGTATTTTATCAATTGCTATCACAAGTATACACACTGTGATGCTGTATCAGCATCTCGCTAACCTCACAGGTGTCTTTACACGTAATTAATGTTTTGCTGAATCTCTGTGCCAAAGTTGAGCAAGATGAGCAGATTCAGTTAAATCTCTTCCTGAACCAGTCACTAGAGGGAAGCAAAGACCTTCACGTGCCTATCCATGACGTCAATCAATGTCTTTGTCCTCACTGGCAAAATCTGTCAGTATTCAATCTAAAATTTTGAAGAAGGCCTATTTGGTGGAAAATTACCCTTTGGGAGAAAAACGAAACAAAACAAAACAAATAGCAAAGGAGTATTTCTATATAGTTGATTTCCAGAGGCCATTGTCATTAAAATATGGAGTTAATTTCATGAGCCATGTTTTCAGAATTTAAATCTAGACAAGAAATTCAGTGCAGAGTGGATAAAGATGGGTTTAAGGCTTTCGTTTTTTGAAGCATCCCAATATTAAGAAAAATACATTGAAATATTTGTAGCATAGAAGCTATGCACTTGCATCATATTACGAAACCTAAGATAAAATATACCAGTTTATTGATATTTTTTTTTGATCCTCCCTCAGTTATCCATACTTCCATTCCGTATGTACTTAGAATCTTATCCTTCATATGCAGTTCTTCAATGTATATCAGGTAAACAGGTCAAGAGAACATCAAATTATTAAATGAGACTAGTTCATCATGCACTCCATTTCACCACAGAAAAAGTATTATGTGTATATACGAACTTACATTATTCTTCCAGTTCATGAGGGGTTATAAGTGAAGTAGGGGTAATATGTGGGGTTTACCATATACTGTGCTTTTAGTGTATTTAATTCAGCCTTGTTCTGGTTAGTGAGAACACAACTCAGCTTACCGTTCTCTCCTATGCTCTTGGCTGGTTGAATTCCTTTAAAACAGAAACACTAGAGGCCAATGTTGCGTTTGATAAAACATGACATTTGCTTAAAGGAATGTACCTGATATGAATTGAATTAGCCCTGGAAATTGAAATGCACAGAAACAGGGAAAAAATATTTAAAATAATGTTTTGAAGTTTATCACTTAAAATTCTAAGTGATTTAGAAATTGCAAGGGCAACACTTAATTTGAATAGAAGATCTTTTATTAAAATTGAGCTATTCAGGGTGGCCAGACCTTAATGAGAATAATACAAATGTGTATCAGGATTTGAGCAAGTTTAAATGGAAGGTAATGTGCTAGATGAACAGCTCCAGGCAAAGCAATTTCATGAAAAAAACCCTGTTGTGTTGAAGAGCTGCTATATTATGGCTAAATAGATTTTTAGATGAAACCATGGTATGCTTGTGATGGCTTTTTAATGTTATCATCATCTTCTCTGATAGTATTGAATAAGAGAGATTTCTTGTCCAGCTAGTTAAGTAAATATAATATACATATGCATTCAAGTGCATGTGCTGGGGATAACATTCTGCAATCCATGCTATTATTCCAAGTAATCGAGTATATAATATAATTCTAAATGTCTCAGGCTATAGTTTGGATTCTCGATGCTACATGTTATCCTAAAAATGCCATTTCTAGTGGTTGTCTTCTCTGTTCTATCTACCCATAGCTATGGAAGAAGCATAAAATAACTTTGCATATATCAAAAGCATGCATTAAAATGCTATCATGTTACTGTATGTTTTTAACTTCACATAGATATGATCCTGTTGTCAAGTTTATCAGTAGGTCAATAGAAGGCCCAGGCTTAAACAACATGCCAGATTTGCACCATATAACCAGAATCAAGCCACAGGTATTTGTACAAATCCAAGAGTCACTGTCAGCATGAATGTCAAGAATTAAGGGACTGCATATATGGACATAAAGAGCAACAGAGAACCACAGAAAAATAATACCACTCCTTATAATTAATCTGATATATTTGTATGCTTAGCCTGTAAAAAGTACATTATTTTGACCAAATTTAAAACTAAATCCTTTAGATTTGTACTACTTTGTAGTGCACTTTTGACTGTGATTTAGGGCTATTAAATGTCCTTTTTAAATGCCAGTGTGTAGTTTCTTTGACATCTACTCCGTTCTAAATAATTATTCACAGAAATAAGCCAATGCTTTATTATAATATAAAAATAAAGTGTAAATATATCAAGTGTCAGATAATAACACAAACAAAACGTATTTTAAACAAAATACAGTTATTTCATTTGAACAATTTCTGATTGCATCTAGATAACACATAGTCATGCAGCTAGTTCAAGAATTCTAAAAAGACAGCAAGAGTCAGCATCATTCAGAAAGTAGTCTAATCTCTTTTTGAACAGTTTATTCTCTAAAAGTTATAGTGTGTACAGGAAAAAGTCAATAGTGTCTCTTTCTGTGCACATCACATCTTCAGCCCATTCTTACCCTTCCTTCTCCTTCTTCTTGTAAGTGGACAGTCAAGCATCCGATGTTTTAGGTACACAAATTGCATGTGTGCTTACGCAAATATTTCATCATTTCATGTACACACAAAGAATAAAATCTTGGAGGAATAAAACACATAAAAATATTTACCATAAAAATCTTTACTTTAAAGAAGTACAATTGAAAATATGAAGCATCCATCTCTTTATTGTATTA